CCTGGATGTCTGGAATTTAGCAAATGGGACACCCAACTACAAGAGGGGCTGGAAGGAGGATGGGGATTTGCAGGAAAAGAAGAAGATTCCTGTTCAGCCAAGTCATCCTTCTGCCCTGCTTGCCATTGCCTACACCTGTTAGGAGATGGCTCTTCAAAGAGGAACAGCACTCATGGGGCTCAGAACCTTCAAACCCAGGTTCCCAAGGGACTTTCCAGACTTGCTCCTTCAGCAGAGTCTGCTCACCCCACGTGCATGGTCAAGGTTTTGGCAATTGCATGAACATTTGACAGAGGTGTTCCACAGGTGAAGGGAATGATGGCTGTCTGTATGAATGCCAGATAAAGGGGGAAGGGGATAAAGTGTTGGGAAGCGGGAGGCTTGTCATGATGTAAATGAGTGGATATTGTTCTCATTTGGGCTGGGATACAGTTAATTTCTTGTCAGCAGCTGGTCCGATGCCATGTTTTGTATTCAGGATGACAGTGATGTTGGTAACACAYTGATATTCTGGTTGGTTCTAAGTGTCACCTTAATCCAAATGCAAGGACTTTTCTGTGCCTCATGCTCTGCTGCGAGGAGGTACAAAAAATCACAAACCCAAAAAACTGGGAGGGAGAACTACAGTTGGGAAAGGTGACCCAAAATGTCCAAAGGGATATCCCACAGGCTGTGATGGCCAGTATATAAAATGGGGGAGTCATCTGGAGGGGGAACTAATCAGCATTCAGGAAAAGCTCCAGCATCAGTCAGCACACAGTTAGCAACTTGTCGTGGTTTGGACTGTGCTAAAAGCCAAAAGCACTGCACCCATGATGCTCTCTCCCTTCCCCTCACCAAAGAGGAAGAAGGGAGAGCAAAAGCCCAATTAACACTAAAATTTATGGCTTTCAGATAACATAACATAATTGAGAGAAAGATATGTATGTGCTCCAGAGAATGGTCAGACAGGCGGAATAACTTAAGTTGCAAAATAGATTTATTACTACAAACTACTAAGAATACTACGGCACCGAGGAGGGGAACAAAGATAGGGACAAATTTACAAGGAGAAGAAAAATAAAAACGGACATTTTAAGACACCTGTTATCCTTTCCGGGACCCGTCTCTTTCCCAGGTCCTCCCTCTCCATCCCCCCATGWYTTCCCRCACACACAGGGGACAGGAATGAAAGTCTAACAYAGATCAAACCACTCATTATGGTTGTCGTCCAGCATCATAGGAGCAGCGTTCTTACAGCTCCAAGCTGTGGAAGGTCTTTTCCCAAGAAACAGTCAGTGTATAACTACTGGTGGCAAGGGAGTATTTTCTTTACGTCGTGGGAGAAAGGAGAGAATGTCCTTCAAGGCCAAACTGCGTTGTTTCAGCAGCGTAAGACCACTATCACAAATCTCCTGGCAGAACACAGCTTCTTCTAAGCATCCACTTACTTCAGACGTAGGGCGGGGGCATCTCTCCCTCCCCACAGAAYACAATTTCTTCTTAGCATCAACTCGCTTCAAACRTCGTGGGGGGGCCAAGCCTCTTCCCCCTTTTTGGCTCCTGATAAGTTCAGTTGAGTCCTCAAAGGCCAGGTTTTTTTCCTCAGAGCAAGGTCACTCTCTTTTCTATACAGGTCTCCCATTGATGAAATAGTCCTTTCGAGAACAACTTATTTTCTCCATGCTCGAGAACCACAGCAAAAAGCACAGCAAGCCAATCCCATCTTCTCCTTACTGTGATCTTTGGGTCTCCATTTTTCTTCTTACATCTCCTCACCCTCCTGCTCTGTTTTTCCCTAGTGCATGATATTAAAACTACATACTAACAACCTAAAACTACATGATGGCTGCCCCTATCTTGTTTTGAATTCTTCTTAAGTACAGGACAATACGTCATCACAGAGGTGTAACCAACCTGTGCAATTGGCCCAGGCCTGATGCGCAGCCTGTCCGTCAACCTCAGAGCCATGATGGATTGGCTCTAAAACACAGGGGGCAGGGCTCCTTTTGCTGGAGAAGAAGGAGAAAGTTTCTAGAACTTCCTCACAGGAGCCATTTTTTGTGGTTTCTTGATCCCATCCCCCCACCACCAAAAATCAGACCAAGTAAAACCATGACACAACTGAACTATAAATCACTTCTTTTTATTTTTTCTTCACTCTTCATTCTTATAAATTCTTCTAGTTTACTTTCCTTCAATTGTTACACCATTCTTATCTAAACCTATGGCTTTGTAGACTGGATTTCACCCTCAGCTTCAACTTCAATGGGATAGCAAAGGGCCTTGGGAACATGGGGATGGGAATGGGGAGTGTGGGGAYGGGGATGGGGGTGTCGGGTACAGGAGGGACTGGTTCTGGGGTGCTCAGCTGCCAGCTGGGCAGCACCACCTGTCTCCTTTTCCTGAGCCCCCAGCAGAGTGCCACAAGCAGCACCATGATTCCAGCAACAGCCCAGAGCTGCCACTGCAGCAAAGCAGCCCAGAGCACAGCTTCCTGTGATCCACTGCTCTGCTCCACAGCCTTGGGCTCCAGATCCTCCAGCATCTGATCCATCTGCTGGCTGAGGAACTCAGACCGCTGGTCCATGCGCTGCCGCGTGTCCTCATCCAGGTCGTCATTGACCACCTTGGCRTTCTGCAGGATGGTTTTCAGCAGCGTGGCCAGGAACATGAGGACAGCCATAGCCTTCAGAAGGGGAGAGAGAAGGGCTTGGCGGTGCTGCCTTTGTGCTCCATCTCTCACCCAGGGCAGTCTCTGGCTGTGTGTGCACCYGCCCTGWCCCACGCTGGACYGGGGCAGCGCTGCCTGCCGCTGCCATTTATACCTGCACCTCAATGTGATGTCCTTTGTGATGTCACAGGCACCAGAGACACCCCAGACAGGCCAGCCCTGCTGTACTGGGGCAGTTTTGCCTGCTGCTGACACTTTTACCTGCCCCTCATTGTGACATTCCTTGTGATGTCACAGGCATATGACACATCACAGCCAGGCCCTGCCCATTGTTCCCACCTCAGCTCAGCCCCYCAGAATGGCCCCCATCACCCACAGCCCTGACACCCACCAAAGGCAAACCCACCGCTCTGGAATGGCTCCAGACACTCCCTTCACAAGCAAAACTTCTCCGAAACTTCAGCAAACCCAAAACTGGATGATGTGATTCCTGGATGCTTTGCTCCTTGAGATCCCCTCAAGTGGTGAGATGGGATCGGTTCCCTCGGTGCTGATCTCGGTGCCTGTGGGGGTGCTCTTGGGGCCATTGTGACACCCCTGTGTGTGTGGGGAGCAGAAGGAGTCGGGGTTCTCGTGGATGAAAGGCTGCACAGGAGCCAACAGTGTGCACTCCCAGCCCAGAAAGCCAGGCAGATCCTGTGCTGCTCCCAAAGAAACGTGCTCAGCAGGGGCAGGGAGATGATCCTGCCCTCAGGAGGCCCCAGCTGGAGCTCTGTGTCCTGGCCTGGGCTCCTCAGCACACAAACGGTGTGGAGCTGTTGGAGAGGGGCCAGAGGAGACCATGGAGATGGTCAGAGGACTGGAACACTGTCCTGGGAGCACTAATATGAGCTGGCTGGTGCATATGGTGGGGCTGGTCCCCATGAAATGGGGCCTACATGGTGGAGCTGCTTTTAATGAAATGGTAAAATCTCATGATATGACCAAATAGCTGTCCCAGACAATTGGAATTACAGAGTTATAGCAATTAAGGAAGATCATTCAAAATTTCCCATTCCCCTCTTCAAATACCACCCTGAATGTTAATRCAAATATGTCTATTTTTCCCTTGTGAGAGGTACCTGTGCAGGGAGCTCCAAGGGGAGTAGGATTTGTGAATGTACCTCTTGCTAGGACAGAGGTAAGAGAATTTCAGAGGGAGATGAGTAACATACTAGAGGACCCCTTGGGGCTAGCAAAGCAATTAGTTCAATTTTTAGGCCCAAATATCTACACTTAGAAAAAAATACAATCTATTTTTGGGAACTTTATTTACTTCAGAGAAGAGACAAATGATACCAATTGCAGGGATTAGAATTTGAGAAAGAGAAAATCCGCCTGATGTTAAAGGGGGAACACTGAGTGAACAGAAATTTCCAGTGTYGAGACCTAATTGGGATCAGAATACAACTGAGGGAAGAAATAATGTGCTGGACTATAGAAGGCTGGTGATTAGGGGAATAAAAGAGGCAGCACCAAAGKGGCATAATTTTTAAAAGGCATTTRAGAATAAAGAGCAACAGGATGAGCYACCCATCACCTGGACACAAAGGCTCAGAAAGAATATGCAGCAGTGCTCAGGAAGAGATCTTGAAAGTAGAGAACTATCGATGCGAGTAGAGAACTATTGAAAGTAAGTTTTGTYATTAAAGCATGGCCAGATATAAAGAAGAAATTGGAGAAAATAGAGGACTGGAGTGATAAGGAATTGAGTGAATTGAGTCGCCTGGCCTAAAGCATTTCCCAAGAGCCATATGTGACACAGAGAGACTGTGTCAAGTATGGCTCTTGAGCCATAYGAAGCATTTGCTGAAACACACCATTTATTGCCATCTTTGCACGCAGTAAAGCTCACAGGAGGAATGGACTCTCTCAAAAAGGGAATTTGCAGGAGTGGCTGGAGGGCAGCAACATTAAACGCCACTTGGCAGTGAGCACAGCAGTGAAGGGTGACCAATTATTTCTATTTCCCCAGTGCAGGAGCACAGAGTGGTGGGGGAGCCATAGGCAGGGAATCAGAGAAACCAGAGCCCATCGCCTCAGGTCTTCTGCCAAACACTCCCTGACTCTGTGGCCGCTGAGCAGCCCCATTCCCCGCCAAGGTGATGCACGGACACTCAGAGATGTGGTGTTTGTTCAAACACACCATTTATTGTGAACTTTTGTTGATGTAAAGCTCACAGGAGGTCAAAGTGCGGATACCGGAACCATTTTCCTAGAAAAAACAGGAAAATAGTTCCAATATCCATTGGATATTCGATTACATGCTTCTACAGTTTTACGATTCTAAGATTCTATGGTCCTACAGTCATCTATTTCTGGATCCAAAGTAGAGGTGATGTTCCCGCTGATTTAACTCRTGCATTGCCCTAGTCTGGGCGGCTGGATCCTGTGCCAGGTGCTGGAAGAGGTTTAGGGGCTGTGCCCCTTGGAAGGCTGGGGGCAAGCAGATCTCCTCGGGCATGTCCTCRTTGCCAAAGAAGAAGTGCTCGAGGCGTTTCTCCTCCAGGCAGCAGCGCAGGTAGCACATGACATCGTCCACCCGCAGCATGAGATACCTTTGCTGCCATTCTGACGGAGGGATCAAGGTCAGCAGGTGCATGACCGTGGTCTTCAAGGCATAGATGGAGCAGCCTGAGCCCTCCAGAAGGCGAGCACAGAGCCGCAGGCACTTGAGGTGGCAGCTGGGGTGTGGAGCCTGCCTGGCGACGTGCCTGAAGAACTTTGCCTCTGCCACAGCACAGCTCTCCAGCCATGTCGTGCACGGGGGCAGCTGGGCCTCTGCAGGCTGGCTGCTCACAAAGATATCCGAGTTACCTTCCTGCACACCGAATATCATATCCACAAAGAAGCTTCTCCCAGAAGTTTCCCCCAGCTTCAGCTTGCAGGAGCGGCGGGAGGGCAGCACCTTCATGCTGTAGTGAAGCGACTGAGGCACCGCCGGCCAGGCTGCGATCACAAACGTGCGGAACCAGACGGCAATTTTCTCCACGTCTAGGTAAGGGCCAGTGCAGAGRGTGTGTAGAAGGCTGGCCTCCTGCTCTGTCTTCAGCTCATCCTCACRGTGGTGGAGGAAGCASAGCATGTTCTGGTCAGGCTCTTCCCCRGTGCAGGTGCACACCAGCTCCACGCGGACGCGCATGCCCGTCTGCGGCGCCTCCCCCGTGGTGTCGGGTTCCAGGCAGAACGCGTGCCCACGGGGTGCTTTCATGGGCACAAACATGGAGTAGACAACATCCTCCTCCTTTTGGTGATTCCAACCTTCCCAGGCACTGCCCACCCCGATGACCGGCTCCAGCACCGGGAAGAAGTTGTTTGAAAAGAGTCTTTGGGAGGCACGGAGAAGGTTGCACAGCAGCTCCTTYACCACCCGTCTCCTGGAGGCCAGCTTTGGCACTGACAGCTGGAAGCGCCTTGAAAATATCCAGACCATATTCCTGTCAGGAGGATATTCTTCCTCGCTTTCTTCGCTCTCTGAGTCCCTGTGGTTGTCCGCCCTATGGGTCCTGTGCCTGAGCCACCAGCAGAGYTCCACGAGCAGCATCAGGCTTCCAACAACGGCCCAGAACAGCCATTCGTGAAAGGGAGTCCAGGGTACAACTCCCCAGAGCTTGACACTCTGCTCCACGGGCCTGGGTGCCAACWCCTGCAGCGTCTGATTCCTCTGCTGGTTCAGGTCCTGATCCAGGTACAGCTCGATGCAATAGCGGATGCCTTCCACGAGCAGGATGAGCAACAGCAACACCATTGCAACCTGAAAGAGAAGGCAGAGGAGTGGAGTGGGGCTGAGAAGGGAGGGAGGGAAGAAAAGGAAAAGGAGGGGAGCTGGTGGTGAGGGAAGCAGGGATGGGAGATGGAGGGCAGGGAGGAAAGGGGGCAGCTGGCAGGCAGCAAGGCCAGCGCCCTGTCCCAGTGGTGGCACTGTGCCCTTTGCAAGGGGCACCTGCGAGGGGCTGGGCCCTGGGGGCAGGGTGGGAAGCACTCTCTGTGTCTGTGTTTGTGCTCCTGCCCTTGTCCAGCACAGTGGCTGACCTGTGAGTGCCCTCGAGGCTCGTTCAGGCTGGACCGGGGCAGCGCTGCCTGCTGCCATCATTTATGCCTGTCCCYCATTGCAATGTCCCTTGTGATGTCACAGGCACATGAGACATCACAGCCAGGCCTTGTCCATTGTTCACACCTCAGCTCAGCCCCTCAGGATGGCCCCATCACCCACAGCCCTGACACCCACCAAAGGCAGACCCACTGCTCTGGAATGGCTCCAGACACTCCCTTCACAAAGCAGGACAAAATTACCCCAAAACTTCAGCAAACCCAAAACTGGATGATGTGATTCCCAGATGCTTTGCTCCTTGAGATCCCCTCAGCTGGTGAGATGGGATTGGTTCCCTCGGCGCTGATCTCAGTGCTTGTGGGGGTGCTCTTGGGGCCATTGTGACACCCCCATGTGTGTGGGGAGCAGAAGGACTCGGGGTTCTCGTGGATGAAAGGCTGCACAGGAGCCAACAGTGTGCACTCCCAGCCCAGAAAGCCAGGCAGATCCTGGGCTGCTCCCAAAGAAACATGGTCAGCAGGGGCAGAGAGATGATCCTGCCCTCAGGAGGCCCCAGCTGGAGCTCTGTGTCCTGGCCTGGGCTCCTCAGCACACAAAGGGTGTGGAGCTGTTGGAGAGGGGCCAGAGGAGACCATGGAGATGGTCAGAGGGCTGGAGCACTGTCCTGGGAACACAGGCTGAGAGAGCAGGGGGTGCTCATCCCAGAGAAGAGAACGCTCCAGGGAAACCTCATTGCAGTCTTCCAGTACTTGAAAGGGAGCTTATAAAAAAACGAGGAGAGGCTTTTTACACGGTCAGATAGTGATAGGACAAGGGTGAACAGTTTTGTACTGAAAGAGGAGAGATTTAGATTGCCTGTTAGGAAGAAGCTTTTTACTGTGAGGGTGCTGGGGCCCTGGCAGAGGCTGCCCAGAGAAGCTGTGGATCCCCCATCCCTGGGAGTGTTCAAGGCTGGATGGGGCTCTGAGAAGCCTGGTCTGGTGAAAGGTGTCCCTGCCCATGGCTGGGGGGGGTGGAGCTCTAGATGAACTTTATGGTCCCTTTCCACCCCAACCACTCCAGGATTCTGTGACCTGGGATGGTGTCTTTGGATGTGGGCATGAAGCCCTGAACAGGAGGTGAGCCTGTTGCTGTGGGGATCAGTGTCCCTGGGGCCTGGCACAGGGATGCCAAAAGCTGCCTGTGTACAGCACATGTGTGGCAGAGCTGGGGAAGGCTCTGGAAAGCGACTCTGAGGGAGCTGGTGGGGTGTAGCTTGGAGAAAAGGAGGCTCTGGGGGAATCTCATTGCTCTTGACAACTCCCTGAACAGTGGTAGTCCGGTGAGAGTCAGCTCTTCTCCCAGGTAACAAGTGACAGGTCTCAGAATTCACAGGGAGGTGGTTTAGATGCGATATTTGGGGAAGGTTTCTTCCTGGAAAGCATTGTCAAGCATAGGGAGAGGCTTCCTGGGGAAGTGGTGGAGTCACTATCCCTGAAAATGTTTAAGAAGCACTTCAAGTGCCTGGATACAGCGCTTGAGGACATGGGCCAGTGGTGACCAAGGTGGTGGAGGCTGGGTTGGTGGTCAGGCTTGGTGATCTTAAAGATCTTTTCCAACCTTAACAACTCCATGATTTAGGTACCGTTCTTGTCACAAAAACCATCGCTGCATATTAAAATACATCTCACACCTACATAGTGTATGTGATAACCCAATCTCTGACTGCTAGGCATACTTACAGCATTTGCAGGGAAGTTTCTTTTGCCCTTTGCATCTTCTTGCATCAAGTAGGCACTTGAACAATCTGACTTTTTGCCACAACATCTCGTGTCCTCTCTGAATGGGACACTATTCCATTTCCAGGGCCCTCTGCAGACCATTGCTAAAACAATTACACAGATTTTTTTTTTCCCTACTGAAGAGGTCTCAAACTATATTCCAGCTGGGAATATGTTATTAATCATCTCATGAGATAAAAGACTGCTTCCCATACGCCTTCATATGCCTTCTGATGMGTGCCTCATTTACAGGTGTCTTTGCCTTGGATGCCTGTGTCTTCTGTCAGAGAAGAGAAAGGTGGGCCTGATGTTCTCCCTGCAAATTTGTGGATRTAGCTAGCCAACACTGAAGACAACAAAACTGTTCCATGCTTTGAGATCCCTCACCAGATCTTGCTTCCTGTGAAACAAAGGAAATATGCAGCGTTTTCTATYAAAATGAACGACTAATAACTGAATAATGAATATCGGTGTTTAAAATCCCCAGTATCACAGCCCCATCTAATGGACTGGCTGAAAGATATTCAAAGGACCTACAAAAAGTCTATCTGTTCTTCAGCAAAATACATGTTAYCATGATAAACAGGACCCCGTGGCATATTAAACCCTTAATTATGGCACAGGAGGCATTTTCTCTGAAAATTAAAAAGGTTGCAAAATGGCTGCAGCCTCTGGGAGGCAATTCTTAGAAGCAAAATGTAACTCAGCGTTAGTGACTCCTTTATCTACTTCCTTCAGTATTCTCTTGGCACAGATTAATGTGGAGAGGGGAGTCTCCATATTTCTTAGTCATGTTATCATTGTGCCAATGACTCTGGAATGCCATAATCCTACAGAGCAGCACAAGCCCAAGGGAAAACACAAGGAAATCACTGAGAGAAGAGAGATATCRGTTAATCCAGGCTTCATTTGCTATTGTATATTTGAGACCTTTCTTTTTTTTTAAATTTATGAAAAAATGGCAGATGATGTGTGATTTCCAGAGAAGTGGCTTGGCCTGCACAGTGTCAATCTAGGGGAAAACCTGCCAACTAAGGCTGGTTACCAGGCTTTTATGTCTCATAACCAAAACCCAGTGGATCAAATCTCACTAAATAGGTACYAGGAGCAGGATGCTGAAAATAGTGGTGTCATGAGTTTTATATCCTAATCCAGAGCTTCTGAAGGGAAGCAGGAGGAACTTTACAGTTTCAGATGGAGTAACTACTCACAGATGGAGTAACTACTAGCTTCTAAGCATCTGCAAAGGTATTTYAGATGCCAGTAATTTTTGTGGTACCAGGACACCATGAATTTCCAGTGCTTCTTCCTCTGAGCTGCTCTTAGCCTCTCCAGCAGTGACAACTGAGAAAGTAATTCTTCCCAGATGACTCAGAGCTCTGAGCCCACATCACATTCAGGAGTGCTAATTAGGCACATCACTCCTGGAAACAGGAAGAATTAGGCAGCAGAAGCYCTTTACAGGTGTTCTCATCCTGACAGCCCATTCTTTTTTTCCTTTCTGAAGGTTTCTCATCTCTTTGCTCACCTCGTTAAGAAAAAAGCTGAATCAAGGAGATCTCTTAACATTTCCTGTGTTCCTGAGACCAAATGCCCAGACCCAACAAGAACCTTTTACACCAAATTCATAAATCATGGCTCTGTGTTTTACAGGAGTTCATAGTTGGGTATCTGGCTGCAGTATTTATCACACACTGTTACCTTAGGGCCTACTATGGACTTTCACAAGTGGACTTTGCAGGTGCAAGCCCCATAAAGCTTGGTTAAAGAACCACAGAAGCAGGAACATCTTTTCATTTTAATTTAAGAGACTCTCCAATATATGCTTACTTAAGGCAAGTTCATTRTGGGGGAGAGATCACTTCAGATGGAGAAAATGTGATTTTCTGTGCTGACTGTGGGGCTGGAAGGACATGGTACAAGCAATAATCTTCTGGATGCACAGCTATTTCAGCAGCCACAAAAGCTCCCTCATGCTGACCAAGTGCCAAATTCCCTTTTGAATCAGTCTCCTTACTGGACCTGCACACAAGGAAACACTTCAGGGTTATTTTGGGAAATGTTTCTGCTTGGTTTAACRGCTTTGCCAGGAGTCTAACTCTTCTGCTTTGGGTTGATTCAGCCCCAAAAGGCAGTGGGGGCTGAGAGTGCTGCTCYAGGGCTGTATGGTGACAGGGACAGGGTCTGCGGGTACACAAAGCGGTCTRAGCTTTGTGTCACCTACTCCAGAGCACCTCAAAACCACAGCAAAGGCAGATGGATGACACCGTTCCTGTTAGCGACCAGCACTGACTCTGCTAAATTCCACATCCAGAACAACAGTCTCAGCTATCTGCAAGGTCATTAGGGAAGGGGAGGCTGAACCAGTCAGGATTTCTCCACAGTGTGAGCCCCAAAATCTGGCCCCGGTTGCTGCATCCCGGCAGGTGCCCCACTCTGGAGCAGGCATCAGAAAACAGGGGCATCTAGTGGCTGCATCAGAAAGTTCAATGAACACCACCATTCCCTCGAAAAGATGTGAGAGTTTGCCTTTCTCCCCTTTCTGCTTTACAAATAAGAATATTTTATTCCGAAGGAGGAGGGAGGGGCATAAACCCTCGCTAGATTTTGCTCTCTTGGAGCCGCATTTCTGACCCATCTGTGACATTTGAAACAGCGAAACCAGACGAAATAAAGCTGTTGCTGGGTTCTGCTGCAGCTGTTGCCCAGGACAGCCAGACCTATACCCCAGGGACCCAAAATCCCCTGCTGATTCACGGCAGGGGAAATGTTGCCTCTCTCTGCTCGGACCAAGGCAGAGTTTGGCCCTTGGGCACTGTGCCATTGTGCATGACAGCCACACCGGCCTGGGCTCCTCAGTGCCTGGTGACACCCAAGGATGGCATTTGCTGGTGATCATCCCCCTGCACCTCTGAGCCAGGCCACTGGAGCTGCACACCTCAG